TACAGCACGTACAATAGAAGATCAGGAGCGGAGACAGGATCGGATCGGCGGCCACACCCGGTGACGAGGGAAGCTACGGGGCGGACGATCGGATCGGCAGCGCGGGCGATGAGACCGGCGACACACCCAGCGACATGTAGTCAGCGACGGGGGTGGTTTGGGTTGCGGAAGGGTAGCGGATCGGAACCGCAATTGATACCATGAAAGTGTGAGAATGATTGATTGTATTTCATACGTGTACAAGAGTACATATAGGGCAGCCGGGGTGGCATGCAAGCCTACCGCACAGGCGCGTGATTACATCCACAATTAAGGGACCTACTATATATACAATATGCTAACAGTGCCACAGGCACATGCAGGCGGTGCAGGGCCGTTTAGCTCGTCAGGCATGCAATGCAACACTGGCACGATAATGTCCAGGACAGTGACGATACACTAGCGAGCGGATCACGCTACTTGCGTCGTCCAGATCCTGCAAGCGGTGGTGGCCGATCTTTTCCCACACTCCTACTCGGACTCTCGGAGTGAGTTGATTACAAGTTCTTGCCTACTGCTACATGGCATTGAAAATGCTAAAATAGAAACGCAAAACGAAATTATTGTTCGTCGAGATACGAGGTTTTAGTATCGCTACTGGCTATTAAGGTTTTCTGTTTTAGAAAGAACAAGGTTGTTCTTGTTCAGAATTTCAGATCATCAGATGGTTTGGAATTCGGAAAGATTTATTTCACCGTCTCCACGGACCACACGGACCATGAACGCCTATGGCTCAACATGGGCCTACGCTAAAACATCAAGGCGGCTGGGCCGGGAAGTTGAAAAAAAAATCCATTTTACATCCTTAACTATTGGCATGGGCCGAGGTCTGATTTTTCTCCTCATCAAACTCTAAAACTAGACATTTATACCCTATAAAGTCTCAAACCAATTCAAATTACCTCCTTGCCGTGGTTTTAAAACGCTCTTTTCTAAAACATTAGAGAATTTGAGAAATGATTGATAAGATTTTTAAACACCAAAAATGCCCATAAGCTTCTACAAATTCTAAGAAAAATCCTTGAGATATATTGGGACATGAAAAATCCAAAAAAAAAGACCCCATGAAAATATCTCTTGAAGCTTCACTAATTTAGATTTAGCTCTAGAAAAATACGAGAACATCTAAAAATTAGAGAAACTCTTAAACATTCTAATCAATGTCTAAGCATATTTTAGAATCTTTTCATGGCAAAAATATGAGATGCAACCAACATGAATGCAACATACATTGATGATGTTGAATGCATTCACGCTATGCATTTGTGGTGGTCGCATCTTTTATTTTTTATGATTATGAAAAGCTTTTCAGAAACATGTTTAGGAATCAATTAGAATATTTTTTGAGAATTTTGTAGATTTTTTTATTCTTTCTATTTGTCTTGAGCTAAATCTAATTTTTGGAAACTCATAGGGATATTCTGAGAGATCTACAACCTGTTCAGCAGGTCGTAAACGATCGTGGATTATTTACTGCTGGCTGGTTTGGTGTGAGAGAAAAATACTGTTCCAGCTTATAATCCACGATCGTATACGAGCAAGCGAACAGGCTGCCAGATACTTTAATTGGATTTGTCGTATTTTAATGTATCTCTAGGATTTTTATCAAAATTTTTAGAAGATGAGAAACATTTCTATGAATTAAAAATCTTGATAAATATTTAGTATAATTTATCTATAACTCTTATAATCCTAAACCCAACTAACTATATATCTCGGCATGCAAGCTATCCACCTCAGCAATACACTATCACATGCAACTAAAATCCACTAGCACATACAATTGTACTGTCCGCGTGAGTGTGACACGCAAGCATTTTGTTGTCCACGTTGTTAACATACCACACAATCTACTAATCCGTAATTCCCGCAGCTACGCGCAGACTATGCTTCTAGTTAATAAAAATACAAAACCGCAAACAGAACGCATTTAAAGCAAGACATGTACATAATTTGAACTGTTTTCTAATTTGAAAGATAAGATATCTTGTTTTAATTTTGAGAAGAAAAATCATATTAGAGAGATAGTACTCCATAGGCATGGTCTCGTAAGAGCAAGTATAACAACATGCTATAATTTTACAGCCGGCTTAGACATAGGAACCAAGAAACTTGAGAGAGATAAATAGGCCGTGTATTAATATTGAAGAGCTAACTATTATATCGATGAATTGAAAGAAAACTATAAAGAAATCTTATAGCCAGTAGCCAGGCTATATTATTAGTCTTCTCTAACGTGAAATAAAAAACTTGGGCCTTCTCACCGGGGTGTTGGATACTTGGATGATTACTTACGCATGCATGAATACATGCAGTTGGCAACTAATTACTGTCTACTGTGCTTTATTTACCGCCACTTACCTCTCCTAGATTTTTTTTGAAGGGTACCTCTCCTAGATTTTCATACGCCTTAGAAAGGATCATGGAAGAAGTATAAAAAGATTTTTTTTCCCTTGAGGAACAAACCACGCGGCCGAAACCACCGTGCCGCACAAATCCGTTGCTCTAGGCCGCGCCCCTGCGAGTACATGTACATCGAGAGATAGCAGCCGACGTGTGGTCCCCGACATCCTCCCACGCCGCTGGGCCGCGTCCCCGATGTGTTGCGCGTTCCCGCGGGCTGCTTCATGCCTTCATGTGGCCTTCCGTGCACGCACTTCCACGCTCCGTTGCTAAAAGTTGGGACAAAAAAGATCCATGCTTCTTGGGCTGCTCCGGACGGCAGCGCCGGCCCTAGAGCCGCCGTCCGTAAAGAAAGATTGGTCGAAGCCGCTCCACGGAACCAAATCGGCCTACGGACACGGAGGCTCGCCCCACTGGCCCAACCCCACTAGCCCACTACCCCGGCCGGCAAGTTTTTCTTTGACGCAGTCCTCGCGCAGTATTTGACTCGTGTGTGCGACGTGGTCAAAATGTGACGACTGAAACTACAATCGCAAAAAAGGTGTCAGAATAAAAATCTGAACGCATGAACACTCGAATGTAGTAGTAGTTTCTTTCCGAAAGTAATCGGTATTACTGGATTTTGTTCTCTGGGCAGAAGTAATAATGACAATAAATGAATCAAGCCTCTCGTTAATCAAACCCAAACACATGGACAACGAGAAACGATGCATGCTCTAATAGCGTGTTTGGTTAGCGTAATGTTGGTTCGGAATCATCCGGTCCTCTATCCGAAGTTAATATTTTCGTTTTGTTTGCAACACAAAACGAACCCGTAGGTCAAGAAGTTGCCGTCGCTAAGCTACCAACAACGGCCATGTTCGCTTCAACGAAAAGAAATTTGAAAAAAATATTGCTCACTAATTTATTGTGAGAAAAAAATCTATCTTATCTTCGATAATGAAAGTTCGATAAGTTTCAAACGAAATGCGCTAACGTTATCTCGGCGGGACCGAATCATTTCCCGCAAAATCGGCGGACGACATCGTCCGTGATGGGCTGACTTCAATTGACCGATTCGGCAAACCAAACATGCCGTAAAACTCCCCATTAATCCAGTCTAAATTTCCCCAATAATCCAGTCCACATACGCGGAAAGTTAAACAAACCTGCGTCCCAATCCAACGCTGCGTGCAGCCGTGCGCGCTTTGCTCCCTATTTTACTACCCGAAATAACAGTGCCTTACAACTCAAGGCTAGTTGTTCCATGTCTATCGGAAATTTAAACAAACAAAGAATACGAAGAACAATTCGAAATACACGCGGCGATAAACCGGCCGGTGGGCGGCGACAGACCGACCTCCACCGACTTTACTCGCGTGGGCGTCGTTTTTTTTGCGTGGCGATCCAATCGCCGCCGGTCAGCCACCACGTCACCAACCCCTCCCAGTCGCCGCCGCCGGGCCACGTCCCACCACCCGCGCCCCAACGGCTAGTTCCCGGACCCGTGCGATCGTGCCACGTAGCCGGTCCGCCAGCTCCCCATGCCGTCCGATCCCACGCGGTCCTCGCCCCGCACGAGCTGCGCGCCAACCCCTGTAGATTTCGAAAAAACTACTCCCGTAAATCCCGCACCGCTCCACCGCCTCCTCTCTCGACCCCCAGACACCGACGTATGGGGCCCAGAACGCCCCCCGCACGCCAGCGACGCGTCGCCTCGTCAGCGCCGCGTGGGCGCGTGAGGTGAAAAATATCCCGTGCACGAACCAGCCTTGGATTCTGGCGGTTCCTGTAATTTTCTAGAAAGGCCCCTGCGCGGAGGACTTTTCTAGGCAGGTTCCCCGCAGAGGAGCAAATACGGGGCTACTATAAAAACGGAGAAGGGGAGGCAGCTGTTTCCTAATTTACCTCGTCAAGGTTTGGTCCTCCAGCGTTCGCCGCAGGTTTGGTTGCTTAGCATTAGGGGGAAACATCCCAGGTTGTTGTTGGATCATTATCGAGAGGAGAAGGCGGAGTTTGGAATTCAGAGCGGAAGAACAGGTAAATTTTCCTCCCGATCTCGAAACCCTATTTCGATTTGGCGTTCGTTTCTTTCATGTACACGTAAAGCAGGGCCTGAGCAGGGGATGGCCTGGCGCCGGCTTGGGCAGCTGGCGGCCTGGCATAGCCGCGCGACCGCGCAGGCGCCGGAGGGGGAGGAGCCGAGGGGGCGAGCCGGCGAGGGGCGAAGGGCGGAGGCGGGAGCGGGACCGCCGGCCCCGGACTTCGTTTCCTGTTCATCCGCCCCTGCCGTTTTCTGTTCTGTTTTTTCCCCTCCTTTTTGTAGTCTGACAGTCTGATTGCTTGTTTCTGCATCGGCTTGTGTCGCTTTGGCGGCTAGCTCTGTTTACCTTGCCCTATTATCCTTTCGGTTTCGTTTTTTTTATGGAAATTTGTGAATCTAGTTGTTTTATTTTCAGGATGTTGATTCTTATCTCCAATCCCATGCAGATAATCTTCATTACAAGATTTCCGATTGGAGATCTTTTTGAATCGCCAGACACAGAGAACAGTAGGGTTTATAACAAGCGACAGGTGAAATGGCAATTGGACAGGGCGATGCGAAGAAGGGCTCTCTTGCCACGAGCTTGAGCTTCTCAAACTGCAGGAGCAGCACAAGAATCTTCGGGAGGAAGAGAGTCGCCGTCTCGCCGACTCCAGGATCCCGGAGCCCGCACTCGCCGGTGCGCACCCTGCGCAAGCAGCGCAGCGTCCGGTTCCACATGGACGACGCCGTCAACCTCATTGAGTCGCTGCCGCAAGATGTTCTGGTAATTGCTCTTGGATCTGTTTCTTTTGCCCAGTTCCATCTATTCTTTCCCCTGTCGAACGATCCATTCAAAAAAAAAAAAGTGACTGTCACTGACTCACTGTTCTCACTCGAGCGTACTACGATTCAATCCAGATTTTGGGTTCTCTTTGTGTTGCTTATCTCAGTTTGTTAAAATCTCGCAGATTAAAATCCTGTGTAAGGTGAACCACAGTGACCTGAGGCAGCTCTTCCTGGTATCAAAACCAGTCAACGAAGCGGTAAGAATTTTGATCCTTTCACTTCACTCCTCTCCTGACCCGAACTACATCTTGGCTCCTGTCGAAATCTAACATTTGTTTATTCAATCCCGTCTTTGCAGACAACTGTTGCTAGAGAGCTGCATTTCAAGTTTTCAACGCCGTCGGCGAAGTCTGTTTTTAGAGACGAGGAAACCGGCGACGACGAGGACGGCCCCGGCGCGCCCAAGCAACGCAGGGTTGCAAATGCAAGGTCGCGCTTGCGGGGCAAAACCCTGGAGGGCATCGCCGTCAACCTGTCGGCATCATTTGAGAGCTTGATCTCCGAGGTTTAGATGTAAATATATCACATCAAAGGTTTTCAGTTTGCGCTTCTGTTCGCGCGTGTATCTATTAGTTTCAGGTTACAAAGTTTAGTGCTTTTTGTAGCCCACGTCATAGAGAGACTCTTAGGTAGTGATGGGGATAGTATACTCGTATGCGTCTTTACTAGTCTTAAGTTATTATATATAGAGTTATTATATATATGGTCGTAGTTCTTCAATGCTGTGATTGAAGAAAACACACGAGAGATGTCTTTTCTGAACTTTTTGTGTACCTATCTTGTAAGTTATTTAGCGTCCAAGAGATGTCTCTTCTCTTATGTATATGCTGTAAGTGTAGGATCTTTGTATACTAGTGTGCACGAGAAGATAAAACTCATGGCTACATCGATGTTGAATAAATCGTAGTGTCTTGACTATGGAAGGGGTGCTACCAGTTCTGAATGAATCGATGTGTCTGAACAGATTGGTCTCTGTTTCTATTGCACATACCATGGATGTTTCGACTGAACAAGTGACAGCATGGATGCTGATAAATCCAAGTGTCTTGACTTTGGATGGTGGTACCAGTTCTGTTCTTATTGCGCATACCACGAATACTTCTCTCTGAAAGTCTGAATAAGTGACTTCTGTTCTTATTGCGCATACCATGAATGCTTCTGTATGAAAGTCTGAAGAAGTGACTGCAGGACTTATTGCTCTGTTCTTCAGAACTCTGGGCGCACCGTATCACAGGTCCAGATTTCAGCCATTTTTTGTCTCTGTTTATTGCAACTGGCAAGCACATCCGGATGTGTTCGGTGTTCCCGGTGAATTTTTTTTATTTCTAACACTTTTTTTAAATTATTTTTAAATTTGACACTGATTTTTTTATTTTCAAATCTAACACTTTTGGCCGTGCCTATTGCCACGGCATGGTCAAACAACGCTGACGTGCCATGCATGGCAGCGTGGCAGCAGTGATGACGTGGCACTTCCCGGACCACGGCCGACGTGGCGGTGGCCGCCGCACCGCGACATCTTGGCGCTGCGAAAGGCACGCCATCGCACATCTTAAGCGCTGGCGAAACCGCATCTAAGCGATGCACCCTGGCTCCCTCCCTCCCTCCCTCCCTCTCACATCATCGCGTCGAGGCGGACGACGCCTGGCGTCCGCGCAAGCACCTCTTCGTCAACAGTCCCTTGCTCCCAAAGCGGCTCCCGGGAGGTCGCGCATCTTCTGGCCGCCTCCCCCGGCCTCCCTCCCTCCCCGTTGGCCTCCAGGAGGCCGCCGCTGCGCCGCCCGCCTCACCACAGGCGGCTGGGCCTCCTCCGGCCTGCCTACCTCCCTCATTTCCCCGAACTTCTCCTCGCCTCCATCAAGGTATTCATGCTCTTATTTGTTGTTTGAACTGTGGATTCAAAGATTACGATTGGTAGCTAGGGTTTTAAGGAATAGTAGGATTGGTAGTTAGGGATTGGTAATGGAGGATTCCTACTTAGGGTTTGAAGCAAAATATTAGTTAATTTTCTCTATACGAAGGCTAATTAGTTAGTTATAACTATTAGTTAGAACTATCGGTGCGTAAGTGTAGGTTATATTTTCTTTGTTTTAATGCAAATGGTTCACCTTTAATGCAAATGTTTTGATTGATGTTAAATTACAATTGCGTTTATTAGATGGAAGACATGTATCTGGAGCAGTTGTGGCGAAAACGGGGTCGTTCTAGAGAATTATACCCCGACACGTCTAGCAAAAATGCCCCCGTCCCTCCTGACCTCCTTGTCCCTAACTGTGATTGTGGTCGTCCGGCCGACGTGTTTCAATCGAGACATCGAGATACAGCTGCGTGTTGCTTCTACACATGCAGTCGTTTTAATGTAAGTGATTCTTTCCATACCTTTTTTCTTTATTTGTGTTACTAGGTTACTAATATTTTGTTGGAAACTTGTTGTGTAGGCCCATGAGAGGTGCTTTTTCTTTTAGTGGATCGACGGTCCGGACAAGTTTGACCCAAGGTACCTCTTTTTCGACAATTGGTGGAGAGGGAGACATCCATGTGAGCACTTCGAGCGGTGGGTTCCACCTTCGCCTAACTCTCCACCAATGATGGCTAAGGAGAAGCACTTAGCCGCAGTTAGACGACTCGAGGAACCTCCTCTATGCGAATGCAGAGATCGAGTTGTGATAAACCCTAGGAATACGTTGGAGTTTGTGTGTCCAAACAAGCATGAAGTAAGTGGAAAGTGTATCTATTGAAATGTTGAGCTATATGTGTTTATGTACTAATATCATCTTTTTTAGGTGTTTTCAATGGAAAAGTGTCGTTTCAAGGAGTGATTGTATGGTCCTAAGAATCAATGGTCGGAAGAGCCGCCAAAGGCAAAGGAAAAGATGAAAGAAAGGCTAATTTTCAAAGCACCTCTTGTCATGTGCGAATGTGGTGCTAAATCTAACTACGGTCTAGTCTCTTCGGAGCTTGGAATATGCCATTATTGCGGCCATATGGTTGACTATGATGAGGTTGGTTATTGTTGTGGAAAACATAAAATCATTTTTTTTCTTTTGCTAAGACTTATGATCTAATTTTTTGTTTAAACACAGCACTAGGAAATACATGTGGGGATCTTATGATGGTCAAGCTAAGTTCTTGGATGAACTGAAGGGGAGGCAAGTAATTGCACAGAATAGGGGATATGGACCTAACTTCGTCGACCTCTTAGTTAAATAGCGAAAGAAGGACATGCGTGAGTTTGCTAGACAGCGCGGTATTCGTAACCCGGTCGGTGTTAGGCTTGACAAATGGGGGTTGGAGAGACGGAGAGCGTTAGAGGGGGAGATGACAAGGAAGGAGACAAGGGAGGAGGAAAGAGTAAAGATGCAGGTCTTGAATGACCATGTTGTTGCATTGTGTGCCAGTGAGTCATTGGAAGACTTATTATTATCATTGCCTGCTTTTAAATGTAATATAATCGTGTTGCTAACTTATTGTATTTCATACATGAAGGGACTGGATGCAGCGAGGACCATGCCGCAAAGGTGGCCTATGTAAGGGATTAGATGTAGTGAGGACCTTGGAGCACCCTATTGTAGCGGGACAATGAGCAGGGTCGCGCAAGGGCATCAGGACATAGTGTGTCCTAGTCTTCCCACTATTAAACCTCTTCTTTAGTGTAAAATCATCGCCAAACTTTACATTCAAACGGACACAAAGGTCGTTAAAGCTAGGAGGTTCATCAAACCATTCAAATTCTTCTTCTATATCCTCAAACATACCATCTTCTTTCCTAACACTTCCTCCGTAAAAAACTCGGACATAACAATCCATCTACAAAAGCATTTGAAGAAACTTCATCAAGTCGTTGAAATCGTCGTATCATGCACTACTAAGTACCAACACATGAAAAACTAAATATCTATACTAACTACCATTACTACTAGAAACTAACTAAACCCTAACTACCTAACCAATCCGTAAACCCAAAGTCCTAACTAACAATAGCCTATACCCTAAACCACTAATCCTAACTAACAAAAACCTAAACCCTAAATTACTAACAAAACCCTAAATCCAAAATCCTAACTAACAAAAACCTAAAGTCTAACTACCTAACCATACCCTAAATCCTAACTACTTACTATCCCAAATCACTAACAATAATCAATTGATTCAAAATTTATTCACCAAAATGAGGGTCTTGGATATTACCTTAGCAACGATGGAAAGAGCTCCTGGGGGGCAGCCCCGAGGACGGAGAGGGCCACCGGCATCATCGCCGCCGACGGCGGTGGCCGAACGGCTGCCCACCAAGGGAGGCGGCACGGTCACAGGTAGGGAGGCGTCGCCGGCGGTGGACGAGCCAAGGGAGGGGGCAATGGCGGCGGGCACGGGCACGGGTGAGTGTCTGGCGAAAGCGATAGAATGGTAAGAGAGAGGAAAGAGGATGCCACATCGCGGGCTTGTACCGGGCCCTGACGCGCCATGGGCCGTGGTGTGGCGCAACCACCCCAAGATCTATGGTGCGACAACGCCTGCCACGTCACCGGTCTGTGTCCAGGCCGTTGCCACGTCACCATTCCTCTCGTGCCACCATGTATGGAGCGATGGCATTGTTTGGCCGCGCCGTGGCTAGGGCCGGACAAAATACTCGTGGCTCGCCAACTCGCTCGACTCGTGGTCGGCTCAGCTCGGCTCGACTCGGCTTATTTTAACTTTTTCACGAGTTGAGCTGGAAGTCTAGCTCGCTATTTTAATGAGCCAGCTCGCGAGCTGCTCACGAGCTGAAACGAGCTTAGTCCTATCAGCCCATGACCATGGATCCAGAAGATGATGAAGCTGACCTAGAAGTGTACACCTATTATATTGGTATGTAATCCTTATTTTCAGCTGTTTCATATAAATTTTAAATTTATAATTGTTGTGGTACTTAAATATTGATTTTATGGATTGTTTTCCATGGAGAAGATGATGATGCTGACATTGAATTTATGAACTTTCCTAAGTCTGTGGTGGCAAGTAATTAGTTAGTATGCTGAAACTGTATCATCATCGATAGACCAGTTATGTTGCATAGTTGATACTTTTGATAAACCTGATATATATTAATCATGTATGGTTAGCATAATGGTGGGCGTCACCTTCTGAAATTAATATAGCATAAACATTATAAACATGTGTGTCCTATTTTTGTTTAGTAGCTTGCGAGCTAAACGAGCCAGCTCAAGCTCGGTAATGAGCCGAGTCGAGCTGCCCCTCTAGCTTGTAATATTAATGATCCGAGCTGAGCTGGGTCGTTAGCCTAACGAGTCAGCTCGAGCTGGACCGAGCAGAGCCGAGCTGGCTCGATATCCAGCCCTAGCCGTGGCAATAGGCGTGGCCAAAAGTGTTAGATTTGAAAATAAAAAAAATATAGTGTCAAATTTGAAAATAGTTTAAAAAAAATGTTAATTTTTTTCCCAGTTCACTTCACATCCACAGTCACTGATAAAAGGAGGTTTAGCCCAGCCGCCCATAGAATTTTTTTATTTTTAA